CCTGCTTCGATTATAACTTAGAGTAGTACAACCCCTGTGGGAGCAGTACCCACTGCAATACTCTGCTGACCCCTGCCCCTTCCCTGACGACATTGAACATCTGGAGAACAGGGGACACATAACAAAAGCTACTTTATTTTTCTCTATGGCCTCTGTAGGTTCATTGTTGAAGCTGTAATGCCGAAGAAAATTGGGTAGGGCATTCAGATGTCCAGAAACCATCTTGAAGAACAACAGAATAGATGAGCCGCTTCAATTTCTTTGCATGATTTCGGCACATTCCTTTTCTCTGGGAATTTGGCAGTAAGGTTTCCTTCTTCCAGGCAGTGGAAACTAGTCAGCTCTAAGAACATTTAGTATTACAATACTTCTAAGTCAGGCCTCGAAAGCAACCTCCAGCCTAGATGAGTATGCTTTAAACCTTCCCCAAAAGACATGGAGATACTACTACAAAAACACACAGAAGTGCTGGGGTGCCTGTTCTAAACTTTACCTATTTCAACAGAAATCTTACCCTTCAAGGTAAAATATTGTTGTTCATTTGGATTTACATGTGTTCCATGTTCCTCATGGATGACCTTTTACGTCAGTTTTCAGTCATCATGGGAGCCAGCAGCTATGCATGGTGCATTCAGAGCTGAAACGCATCTACCTGTCACGCACCTGCAACGTGAAAGGGCAGCCACTAACGCTCTCTATAGCGGCTTAGGTGGAAACAATTCCAAAGCTGCTTCTTCCAAAACTCCATCCTTGGAGATATTCAAAAGCCATCTGGACATGGTCCTGGGCAACCGGCCCTAGGTGACCCTGCCTGAGCAGGGAGTTGGACAAGATGACCTCCAGAGCTCCCTTCCAACCTCAACTATTCTATGATTCTTGCAGGACACAGGTCTCAAGGCACTCAGTGTGCAGCAACCAGACAGAAAAACGATATTTTATATTTTATAGCTAGGCTACCTGGGTTTTTTTTGTCTCCAAGGCAGGCAAAATAATAGAACTACTGGATTCTCCTGTTTGTCTTCAGTTCAAATAGATCCAAACCCAAGGAAATATCTTAATGTTGAGATCTTTATTTTAATCGCTCTTGTTGTTTAATAAACAACTTATCTTATGAAGACTGAGGCTCTTTAACGGATCCACTTGATAAATCCAGTTCATTTGCTACCTATGTCAGAAAAATGAAGGGCAAAGCCCCTGCAGACAGATGTGCTTACCAGATATTAAGGACCTGTGAAGAGCTCATTGTGCAGCGCTCCTTTCCTTACAGATTTCACAGACCCAAGATGCACCAGCAGTGTATCCTCAAATCGGCAAAATGCAGAAGCCATTTACAGATCAAGCTATACAGTATATTCGCCCAGACATGAAATGTCCCAGCATACAAACAAAACCAAGACCTAGCACCAAAATAAGTGGCAGCACAGGTTTCACAGGACATGTGCTGCATGGCTGAAGTAATCTTTCAGAGCCCTGCTCTTACTAAAAGAAATCATGTTGTTTCAACTCTTTTACAGGCCCTTTCGAGCTACCCATCTCATTACTCCTGCACAAGTTAAGCATCACAAATGTAACTGCAGTAAAATCCTTAAAATTAATTTGGATTGCGGTTTCTCTATAAACGTGTAAGTCTATAATAACTCTTTCATCATTAGGTCTAAAGCACAACAAACAGAAAAAAATGCCAAAAATGCATGTATTCCCCCAAAGATTATAAATCTACCGAATCAAATGAGCAACTTCTCTTTTTTGGTGGGGGACTGGGAATGGACAGCTCTGGATAGTTCACTGTACTTAAATGCAATTATCTGGTTAAATCAGTACGTGACAAAAGTGTAATTTTAGAAACATGGAAATTACGACTACGAAAAGGAGAAAGTCACATTAAAG